GCAATATTTTCACCAGATTTAAATAATGAGTTGAATTTGATCAAATCTATTCTTCCGACTTCATTTGAAGATCATAAAAACCAGCACATTCTCATGAAACTGCGTCGTAATAAGAAAAAAACAGGGTAAAATAGACACTTCGATTTCTTCCTCAATTTGTTATGTTTCAACAATTTTAATTTTTCAAATTGAAAAAAAAAATATTTTTGACGTTCGTCGTGGGGGGTGGTAAATTAAATTTTTTCTTGCTCATTCATCCTANAATTGAAAAAAAAAATTATTTTTGACGTTCGTCGTGGGGGGTGGTAAATCAAATTTTTTCTTGCTCATTCATCCTCCTCCCCGCCTATTGTTTTATGGTGATTTCCTCTGTGAGTAGAAAAGTAGCCATCTTACAAATTTCGCAAATGAACAAAAGGTCAGATGTGTAGGGCGTGCAATTGATCATTGAAAAAAAATTAATAATTTCAAAGTTATTTCAAGAGTAAAACAGGAAATTCAAAGCTACTTTATATTTCAAACTTCAATGGAAAATTTAATAAAGTCGAAGTTTGTTTGTTAATATCTTTCCCAACTCTAATTTTTCTTTATACAAAGATACCGACACGATTCTGTTGGAAAATGTCCTTTAAAAATGTTCTTTATTTTGGAATAGGACCAAATTTTTCGGATGTCTATTTTACCCCACTCTTGAATAATTTCTAAGTTGTGGACTTTACCAAGAAGCAATTTTTAAAAATCAATTATTGAAAATGTTTTGAGTGTTCATTTTAGTCCCGTCCATACAGATTTATCAGGTGTCCATAATGCCCAACGAAACAATTTTTAAAATTTTGAATTTTGCAAAAAAAAAATTTTTCGCCAATTTTTGAGTGTCCATTTTATTTCAGTTCTCCATATTACCCCGCCCCCTCTAATTTTTTCAAAAACCGGAGAATTTTCCTAGAATTTTCTCGAAAACCTAAGAATTATCTACAACTGTCTCGAAAACCCAAGTTTTTTCTGGAATGTTCTAGAAAACTGAAGAATTTCTTCGAACGTGCTCGGACACCCTAGAATTTCCTCGAATTTTGTTTGAAAACTGTAAATATCCTTGTAATTTTTTCGAAAACTGGAGAATTTTTAGGAATTTTCGCAGAAACCGCAGAATTCTCTCGAAAATCGGAAATATTTCTCGAAAACTTCATAGGAAACATGAGAAGATCTACCGGAAAAAATAAACGCGAACAAAATAAGAAACAAAAACTGCGGGGCCCCTTCCAAGCTCCACTTTTATATGTCACCCTGGTTTCCTGCCATTCCCGCAGTTACCGACATAGCTATGGTCGGGATAAAGCTTCTTGCTTTGACCGCAAACTGGGGGGGCGTAAAATCGCCACTCGGGAAAAAAATCCCTCCAACCGGGCCTTAAGACAATAAGAAGTTGTATANAACGAAAATGGGATAATCAAGCGGATGAGTGAATGCAAAGGAGGTTTCATGTTGGATTTAAGATTGGGAACGCATCCCTGTTATCGACTGTTTCCATGGTAATAGATGAAAATTTCTTTACCTACAGAGACGGCCTCTCGATTAGTTCATGCGCGCCACCGCTATGAAACTCTGATCGAACAGTTCCCATAAGCCTGAGCAATCTCCCCTATTATCTCTGCTCTTTGATCCCAACTTCCCCTAACCACCGCGCAACCAACTGCAACTCACACCTTGTCGGTAAAATCAACAATAACTCGCATAACCAATCGATCCCATAAAAACCTTGCTCCTCGAAGAATTTTCAAAAACATCCATATGTTATCAGTAATTCCGTACGTGTGACCACCATCTCTGAATTACTCATCCAACAAAAAATCTGCGGAAGTCATAAAAATCGAGGAATTTATTATACCCGACTGCAACAATTAAAACACCACGATTGGGTATGACACATCGTGCATCTCTTGCTCCTCATTGACAAATAATTGAACAATGCGGTGCTACGCCGTATGTCATCTGTGTTTTGCAATAAATTGTCAACTCAATTCATCTCCTTAGTTTTTTTTCATTTCGTCCAAGAGGAAAAATAATTGTTTACTGGAGTTAATTGGATACTTTGAGATGGAGAACAACCAGGAAAATCATACTGCAGTGGAAGACTCTGAAGGTACAGTTGTTTCATTGTTTTTATCAGTCAATCAATAATCATAACCATAACCAAATATTTATCATTGTTCATTTAGAATTTATTTCTATTCTCATTATTTTTATTTATTCTATGATTTTGTCAATTTATAATTACTCGAAAGAATCAAATTTTTATCATTTTTAAATTTTTGTCATAAAGGCTAGTTTTTTCAGTTTTTTAAAGAATTTTGGTACGCAATTGCAGACCTAGTTGATTGTTAGTTCATTATTATCATTTAATTTTTGCGTTGAATTTTTTTTTTCAATTTTTTTATCACTGTTAGTCTTCAGTTTTGTTTATTATCGATTTCACTGCTGTTGTATGAGTTTTCTGGTGCAGAAGATGTGCATAAAAAAAAAATGTATTCATATGCTAATCTTGTTCGTCTCAAAGCATTTCGTTTTCTTTTTATCTTCTATTTATAAGCATTCTACTTTCAATCCATATCGCATTACTATTTTATGCTATATATTTCCAATTGATTTCCAATTCATCAAGATGAACTATTCTGGTTCGTCAACTATTGACTTTAACGTCAGTCTATAATGTTTCTAACACGAAGGGAAAGTTGAAACAAAAATGTTCAATTCTGATTCATCTGAAAATTAAAAATCATTTTCCATTTCACATTTGGAACTTGAGAGTCCAAAATTTTCAATTTGCATTCAATTTTCATCAGTTTTTTCCTTTGAATAAACTTCGAATTTTTCTCGAATTCATCAAAAAAAAAATTCATAAAATAACTGCTTTGAAACCCATTCTCATAATTATTATCATCACATCGCTCTGTTTACCATCGACTTACTCTCATTCCAGTATATTTCTGGAGCAGAAGATGATATGAAGACAAAATATGTATCAATATGCTAATTTTATGCATCTGAAATTGCCTCATTCTCTATTTTGTGAGATTTCCAAGTCTTTAATTATGCAAACCAGGCGGAAGCGAAATTTCATCCGTATGAAAGTTTTGAATTTTTATGCATATCTCATTGTATAAATGCCCAATTGATTTTCTATTCATCAAGATGAACCACTCTGGTTCGTTAACTATCGATTTTAACGTCAGTCTGTAACGTTTCTAGAGCGGGAGAAACATTGCAACAAAACAAATTTTGGTCTATCTGCAATCAATGAATTTCAAAATCCTCCTTTATTCTCCATTTGAAACTTACAATATAAAAACCTGCAATTTGTATTGAATTTTCCCCGTATTTTCCCACTTAATAAACCCCCGACTTATTTTCAATTCATAACAATGAGCTAAAAATCATGAAACAACTGTTTGAAATATTATTCTCGAAATTATCACCATCATTTCACCACTTTTACTGTCGACTTACACCATTGTACAATATTTGTAGAGCACAAGACCAGGGATCGGCATCAATTATTAGATTAGTAATATTATGAGAAGTTGCACCTTGCGATAATTAAGTTTTGCCTTTCGTTATCTTCATTGAAATTCAAACAATAATTGATAATACGGAATTGTCAATTGACTATTGAGTAAATAATTCTAAATTCCATAAGAAGGATTTCCGATTAGCCAAATAATCGTCAATCTTCCGAATGCAATGATTGATTAATAAATAAATTCGGAATTTGAGGATTTAATTGATGATTAACTTAATAATTTAAAAATTGTTGAGTAGTTTTCAACAATTAACTTATTCAAAATTTAAATTCATTTAAAATTGATGATTATGCCGATGTCTTCATCACATTCTTCTCAAACGGTCACACTTCCTCTTTCGAGATGGAAATGCTATTCTTTTTACAACTTATCATCACGATGTTTTTAAATGCTATAAATAAATTTCTAATTGATTTCCAATTCTTTCTGGTTCGTCAACTATCGATTTTAACGTTATTTTATAATGTTTCTAGAGCGGAAGAAATATTGAAACAAAACCTGTAAATTCTACTCCATCTAAAATTAACCAATTTGAAAATTTTCCTTTATCTTTTATTTGAAGTTTAATATATAAAAATCCCTAATTTGTATTCGACCTTCCTCATATTTTTTAATTTAATAAACCTCCAACTCATTTTCAATTCATAACAACAAGCTGCAAACTATGTAGCAACTGTTCAAAATATCATTTTCATAATTATTACTTCCATTTCGCTTTATTTACTACCGACTCACCCCAACCTACACTGACAAAAAAAGTATTTTGATGAGTACGTCTTAACTTGTATTAAGAAATTTATGGCTCAAAAATTGACAAGATGAAAATATCTTACACTGAGAACGGTAAAACTTTCATTAAGAGATTTTGTACTTGTCCCAAAGACGAGGATGATTTTTTTGACAATAAAGGGATTTTTCAAATCAAGTCTAGTTGAATCAATTTGTTCAGTTGTTTTGAAGTCTAAAGTCCAACATTTTTTAATTTAAAAACCACTTGACTTGGTTCGAGAAGTGACTTTCTTGTTGGGAATAAATTGCCCCTCATCTTTCAGACAAGTACAAAATCTCTTGACGGAAGTTTTTTTAGTGAAATATTTTCTTCTTGTCAATTTTCGAGCCATGAGTTTCTTGATGCAAGTAAAGACGTAGTTGCCGAAAAACTTTTTTTTTTTCAGTGGACAATATTTTAAGGGGGGACTACGATGAGTTTTAAAAGTCGCGGGCTATTGGAATACGATTTTTGATGCATTGAAGATCGATTTAAAAATGAATAATTAGTGCAAAAAATTACTTGTTCATTGTTCGTTTGCACCACAGATGCTTAAAATATTAAAAATAGTCCAGGGCCTCCAATTTTTGAGCTCCAAAGGTTTCTATTTTTTCAAAAATTTTGAAAACATATGTGCAATAACAATTACGAACTATCTTTTTTGAGATTGTGACGTTATGAGTTTTACCCGGAGGTAAAACTCAGTGAATAGTAGTCCTTTTCCTTCGGCTATTACCGTCAGTGAGAGGAATCTCCTTTTCACTATACCTTTTCACGTATTCCTGCACTGTAATCCTTTTGTATGGTCACTTAATCCTCAGCTAACTTCGGCGGTGAGCTCATGGGGGATTCGCTCATTCGTAGGGATGTTAGGAAAGGTAGGAAGGGATATTACTTGGTGATATTCTCAGTTAACACTCGCGTTTTTATCGGTAAAACTATGGTATATTAACTGATGGTTTAAAATACACGACTGTTTTAATTATGGGTTGGTATACGCGTTATTAAGAGACTCGACTAGGGACTTCGACTCGATTTTGGCTGAAGGCCTGAGCTAGAGGTCCGCTCGACTCTGCTCCTGATCGGACTCTGCCCTTGTAGAGTCTTTGTAAAACGCTCAAGACCTAAAATTGCAGAGCAAGCAGTCTCACAGTCCCGAAACACTAAGACAATTGAGTGTCATCATTGACACACAACTAGAACAGTCAAACAGCTTCTTTACCGAGAAGCTGGACTCAGATAGCACCGTGAGAATGCTGAGCTCTGCTCCTGCACGATGAGAAACAAATCATTTCTTTTCTCATCGTCCCACATTATAAATTTAATGTAACGTATTATTCATAATACGTCATATTGTATTCAACAAATAACTGACGTATTAATGACAATACGTCACCAGATTCAACTCCTACACAGCTAATTTCGTTATTTTCATAATAAAAAGTTGCACCATTCGTGTAAAATAGCCCCAAAAAATGTTTCTGACAGAAACGAGAATATATTTTAAATATTTTGAGGATAATTTTCCTGCTTATTTTACATGAATGGTGCAAATTTTTAATTTTAAACAAAACAAAATTCATGAATGCCCAATTTATTTCCAATTCATTAAGATAACTCATTCTGTTTCTAGAGCGAAAGAAATATTGAAATAAAACATGTAAATTCAGCTTGATCTGATATCGACCAATTTTAAAAGCCCATTTATCCTTTATTTAAAGCTTACAACATAAAAATGTGCAATTTGCATTCAATTCTCCGCACATTCCCCCTTTGAATAGACCCTCAACTAATTTTCAATTCCCAAAAAGAAGTTGCAAACCGTTTGAAATTCCTTTAAAATACTATTCTCACAATCATCATTGCCATTTTACATTGTTAACAATCGACTTACCCCATTGTCCGATATTTCTGGAGCAGACGTAGACATGAAGGCAAAAGTTGAAAGGTTGGAGTTGGAAAATGCACATATGCGAGAGGAATTCAACGGTCAACGGGCAAAAATGAAGGAGTTATTCCTGCAGAAAGAAGGTAAGTCCATGAAAAAAAATACTCCATTAATTCTAATAACAAAGCCAGCCCGATAAAATCATACCCCTCAGGTATATCATTGCCCCTATGCACAAAGGAAAAAACACGATATAATTGCAGAAGAGTTGAAAAGACGGTTTAAAGAGAACGCAGACCTCCAAGAGGAAGTGTCTACACTCAGGCACGAGTTGGACGAGGCGAAAAGTCAGCTTGTCGTTGCCAATCTTCGACTCGAGTCTGATATCGATTTGGAGACGGAGAAGGCCCAGCAGGAGATTGCATCACTTCAACAGGTGATTCAAGACACGATGGAGGAGTCTGCATGCACACGTGAACAGTTGGAGAATGAAGTGCGAAAGTTGAAGGTTTACATAACAAAGTTGGAGGAGGAGAATTCTATGATAAAGTCACAGATTGCTAGGGATGTACCTCAGGATGGACCGCCAATTTCATTGTCTCATGTCACTAAAACTTTGGCGAGGAAAGTTGCATCGCAGTTAGGCGCCGATGCTCTCTCTCTGGGGCCTGAGAATCTCGAGGAGAGCATGCGGAAGGTAAAAAAATATGTACGTATGCTTGAGACTGCACGCTCATTAAACATTGCTTTTATTTTTTTGGTTTTTTAAATTAACAACTCAATGAAGTGGGTAGATCAATCTTTAAATGTTCGTTAAAATTTGAAACAATGTGAAGAAAAGAACATTTTTGCAGTGAATTTCATAATCTGAAAAAAATGTCTTGACGTTTCTCTCAAAATTGAATTGTTTTTTTTTCGTTTCTGTCCATCTTTCACCACTCGGCTACAGGAATATATTTTAATATTGATGAGGAAGGGAAAATAATTGGAAATAATTGTTGTTGAGTATACTGAGAGAAACAATGACTAAAATTTACGGAAACAAATGAATAAAATAAAAGTTTTTCAAACATTCACCAAAAATGTGAAAAAGTTAGTTTGACTTCAGATAAAATTGAAAATACAAAACTTAATAGATAATGTTAAAGATGAGATGGAGAGAATTACTCTGAATAAAAATTATGTGCAAGTGACTCGTTAGTAGTTGTATTATAAAACTGATGTTTGAAATTTTATAGAAATAAGATAAGTTGACGAGTGGTGGAAGACAGGAAATCGTAAGATTAAATTTAAAAATACATCAAGCGCATTTTTTTCGGGGATACTCGGAAAAATAATTATTATTCTTGTCACTTTATTCCTGTTTTTGCCAATCGTCTATGGCAATATATTTTAAGAATAATGAGAAAGCAAAAATATTGAAAATAATTGTTGTAAAGTATACTAAAAGAAGCAATGACTGAAATTTTTGTTTTTGGGACCGAAAATTCTGTATAATACACATATTTATGTGAACTGCTGTAGCAAACCCTGTCAGCTATTTAAGGATGCCAAGTGGGTCAAGTGCACAACTAAATTGATCATCTTTTTCAAAAACCTTGCATAATAAATTGTGTTAACTTCATTAATTCATCTCGCCAATTTATATTCAAATTGAGTTAGGATGTAATACATGTAAAATTTTCTTTTTATTTTTTCGACCAAAAAATATTTGTTTTATTGACTAAATGGTGATATCCGGTGGGAATCGTGGCAACACCGTTGCTGTCAGCTGATGGTAGAGGCGCGAGGGTTTGTTGATATTCTAACGTGTGTTGGAGGTTATACATGCCTGTGAACAAACCATGGCCTCAGATAAAAATAAAAATTTATTGCGTGACAAAAGGGGACAGTTTATCTCCCAAAAATGTAAAATTTTGTTGGACATTTGGTTAGCCATAACAAGATCCATTGAAATGATTCCCGAGATGAGTAAATCCTGAGACCAATGTTCTTTCGCACAATTCGTTTGAAATTCAATTATAAACACCATTCGAGTCTCATTGATTGATAATTACGTTTGAAATCCTAAAATTCACTTCGAAAAAACATCCATCGTGAGTGACAGGTAGGGTTATGTTGACGGGGGACGTACAAGCGGAGTAGGACAGCTGTGTGCACTGTTGTCGCGTATCATCCATTTTGCTACGAGCGATTTTTTTCCCCGGAAGTGAGTCGAAAAATTAAGGTTTCGTCCTCATTTGCCCCGGTTCCTTTGATTTCGCCCGGATCAATCGATTCAGCTTTTTTTAAAAAAATTTTCCATATTTTTCGGGATTTTTCATGAATCTCTAAATTGGCCAATCTTTTATTTTAGTGCATAACCTCATAAGAGCCAATGCTTGATCTTAAAATTTTGTTTATTTAAATTCTCAATAATTAATACCAGTTGAAAGGTCAAGATTGTCATCTAAATTTTTTAAATATTTCTCGCTATTACAGGAAAAAAAATTGAATTTGTGTTGATCTATTAAACATTTTCACTTGGCACCCTTAAGGGGTAACGGAACCCGTCGCACGCAGAGATTAGGGGTCCCCCCTATCGGTATTGCAGGTTCCCGTCGTTTTTTGGATTTTGTACGTGAAAAGCACAAAATCCCATAAAATATAAATAAATAATAATGGTATGGAAACATTCTACATCATCTTCTGACTCGTAAAAGTACTTCCCTCTTACAATTGGTGCCCTGTAAAGGACATGTTACCTCCTGGATACCACCCAATCATCATAAACGAGTTTTTACGAAAATTACGCAACAAAAGTACGTTTTTAAACTCAAAATCTCTGTCTTGGACCTCACTCGATCGCTCTCTTCTCATGAAAATAGGCATCGGCTAAGAAAAATCTACAAAAAATCGGTTTTTCTACCATGACTTGGCAGATTCCTATAAATAAAATGGCGTCAGCCTTGCCCTGGTCCTTGCCGTTAAATAATTTGCAATTTTTTTTTTTGCATAAATAAGAAAAGCATGAGAAGAGAGCGATGTGTTCCGCTACTCTCAATACGGGGAAAAGGTTTCATTGATTCTCATTGCATAGAATCCAAGAAAACTTGTTTTTGGTAAACGTCTTTTTGTGGTCGGTTCCGTTACCCCTTAAGGTGTTACCCTACTCTCAATTATGAAAATTTCTATGGCACCCAAAAAAAATAACGAACTACTGATGAAAAACTAGTGGGTGATAAATCAAATCTTTCTTGAGAACACGTATAAGTTTCAGATTTCATAAGAAAGTTATTTGAACAAATGATTCGGAAAATTATGAGTTTCACGGCAATTACGCCCTCACGCGTATGGTTCAACTGAGGAGATTGTGGTTCTCAAATTTACCCCTACTTTTCCCAATCCCCACTACAATCCGTGTCTCCCACCTTTCACACTCAGGGCTACAATCTTCTCAGGACGACAGTAGGTGCATGATTCGAATGTCAGTGAGCATCACGAAACAGGTATGGGTTGGACCATGGAACTGAGAGAGAGAAAACACTCGACAGGTTTACCAACAAGAGATGCATTTTAATATTATTTCAATAATTAGAATAACATCCAATAAAAATTATTTGACACCCGTAGGTGATGAGAAAAAAATCAATCTGATAAATAAAATCAATATTCAAAAAATGTTGAAATGCACACTTAAATAGTTACTTGAAAATTGGAAAATTTCGTGCTCAGCGATTAAATCAGGACTCGAGAACATTAAGACTCCCCTTCCATTCCACCCCCCGGTGATTTGCCGACGAAACACCTTAAATGGTTGTGTTAAATTTGTTCCAATTTAAACCTTATGGGTTGACTGGCCATTAACTGGGGATTTATTATAAATTTTGGACATGATTTTTTCCGTTCAATGAGACATTTTTTAAGTTAAACGAAATTGTTTTTTTACAAGTCTAATTGATTAATTAATTCCTCGTTTCGGATTTTTCTGTAAATAATCGAAATTCTGTAACAACATTCATTTTATTTATTTATTATTTTATTTATAATACGTGCCTGCGTGAGTTTACATTTCTAAACGACACTCACAGTGCACGGGGGGGGGGGCCAAATGACCAGTAAATAAAAAACATCACATAAATCTAGATGCATAATCACACATTCCGAGCATATATACATCCGGTGCATCATATTCAATATCCCTTTTTCCCTAAAAATATATGTATACACACGCACACACCCTCCAGACAACATCAACAATTAAGGAAAAGAATGATTTAGTTGACGATCTCTGAAACGGAGGGCTTCAACGATGAAAAATGCTACACGTTTCAGATCTTTTGGGTTCTTGATATCAAGTAAGATGGCAAGCCAATCCTCTTCGAACGCTCATTTACAACATCATTAAAGTGTGAAACCCTAATGAAATGATAATTAGGGCATCTTACCATGATATGTATAAAATTCTCCAACTCAAAATGACATAGTTTACAATACTCCTTAGGATTGATGATGAATTTATTATTATTAATGAGCAGTCTACAGCAATGCACATTCGCAAGACGGATCTGCGCTATGATGCGAGTGCAGACCATGTGGCATCTTAGTGACAGGTATTTGGTACGTCTAATAGAGAAGTCATGATGAATTTTTATCTGCAAGGATTCCGATTCACAATATCTAAGATAGTCCTGGGCTCTCAAATCGTCGTTGAATCTAGATAATACTTTTTTTTATTACTAGACCAGGTCTCTGCAACTAAACTCTAAAAAATCAATCTCGTAGAGAAAATTTTTCAGTTTTGAGAGCCAGTTATACTCAATCTTGTTCGAGGGCTTATCACACAGGAAAGCCAGACGATTCAAACAAATCAGTGGTAGTCTATGGGATCCCATCTTGAGAACTCTTATCACCCATTTCAAAGTGAGATCTACGGCCCTGACTGCCAGGCGTCTCAGTCCTAACTCGAGACGAATAGCATACCCTGGAGTTACAGATGGAAGCAGTAAAATTTGTTTGTAAAAATCATTCTGGATCCTTTCAATTTGATCAAAGTGCCCAAGGCCCCACGATGCCACTGCATATAGCAAAGTTGGAGAAACTACACTATCGAACAATTTAAATTTAGTACACCATGCGTCAGATTTCGATTTCACCAAAATTGATTTCGTGACACCGATTGCCGATTTGGGCTTGCGAATTGCATGTCTGACCGTGCCAATGCACCGTCAGACATGCAATTCTTAGATAAAGTTTTTATTTAAGGCCCGGGTGTACTATCTTTCGAATGTTATCTGGATTTTTTTTATCTTTCGTAATCCAAAATTGTCAATTAAGTGGTACATCATGTAGAAATTCCCAAAAATTATGATAGAATGATAAAAAAAAAATAGAAAAAATTCTGAACTTTTTCAAAGAGCCTTTTCCGTAATAAATGTCTCTGTGCAGTGTGGGAAAAGATTTACGAAATCAGTCTTCCCCCTGCATGAGATTGGGTGACAGACCGCCTTTTGTCACCGTAAATCAAATACATTTTTCAATTTCTTGTTATTCGACTTATTCTGAATACAAATTAAAAATGCTCTTTGAAAAAATTAAGAATTTTTTCTACTGTTTTTTGATTATTCATTCGTAATTTTTCAAAACTTCTGCATGATGCAGGACTTAATTGACAATTTCAGATAACGAAAGATGAAAAGAAACATCGATATAACGTTCGAAAGATAGTACACCCGGGCCTTAATACTTCAAATATTTGCAGGGATGTTTCTCATAAAATTGAATTCGAAAAATTGATAATTTGATGATAAAATATGAAAACACCTGTTGACATTTTGATAGCGTTATCCACTTTACTGGAGAATTAAATATGTATTGTATTCACTTGAAACTTCCGTCTCCTCTAGTTTTTTCATTAATTCAAAACAATTTTCATCTGTAAAATTCTATTTTTCAAATTATGGAGGAACCAGAAGAGATCGTCATCTTGCATCCTTCCCTCAAATTCAATGACTTCATAACTTATTCCAGGCTCAAGAAGACGCAGAAGTATTACGCTCCCTCGTAGTCCCCCTCGAGGAGGAGATAAAAGCCCTGAAGGAGAAGCTTCGATCGACAGACGACGAGCTCCAAAAATGCAAAGAACAGCAGCAGCAGCAGCTCCAAAGGCGCTTGGATCCTGACAACGAGAACACCTGTGACATGTGCATAAACTACGAGGCTCAACTCGTGAAGATGCAGACGACAGCAAAAGACCTCGAGAAACAATTAGCAGATAGTGAAAAGGCTCTGCAGGCTCAGAGGGAGGACCTCTCCAAGGAGGTCGAATTTAGAAAGGGAATGGAGGAGAAGTGGAATGAAAAAAAGGAAGAGCACAAGATTAAAGTAACAGAGTTGACAGCTGCCTCGCAACTAGCGCAGCAGACACTCCAGGAATTGAAGCAGCAGTTCATTCAGACACATCAAGCAGTGACGGAGGAGCTGAGGAAATTGACGAGAGGGAGGGAAGAGGTGCAGAGGCATCTGATGGAGCTCCAAAGGGAGAATGAAATCCTCGTGGGGAAGTACAGCAAACATTCTGAACAACTACAGTCGGAGAGCATCAACATGCCAAATAATGTTGAAGAACTCCATCTGAGTCTTCTTAAGATTAGGGAGGACTTGATCAGTGCGCGGGTCGCTCAGGAGGTGGCGCAGGAGAAGGAATCGACGTTGAGGTACGAGGTGGGACTCCTCAGAGAGCAGATGATTGCCGAGAAGGAAATGAAGCTGCAGAGACTCGAGAAGGAACTAGAAGAGGCCTTGAGTGAGAAACAAGAGGGGGAGAACACCATTGCTGAATTGAAACAGAGGGTCACGAATCTACAGAAGGTGCTGGATACCAGTGGAGAGGTGCAGAAGGACTTTGTTAGGCTGTCTCAATCTCTTCAGGTATATGCGCATTTTTATTAATCTAATTCTTCGATTTTAAGGTTTCAATTGTGATATTTCCGTTTTATCCAGGTCCAATTGGAGAAAATTAGAGAATCTGGAAGTGAGGTACGATGGCAGCATGAAGAAGACGTCGATGAGTGTCCAACTTGTCATGTGGCTTTCTCAATTGGGAAGAAAAGGGTGATTAGTAGACTATTTTCTGTGATTTCAGTGGGACAATTGTCAATTATACCAAAATGTTTGCATTTCATCGCACAAAAATTTCATAACGAATCAATTGATTTTGTATTATTTATTTGCAGGTACATTGTCGTCATTGTGGCCATATATTCTGTCAAAACTGCTTGACACACGTTGTAAATAGTGGCCCTAAACAGAGGCCATCACGTGTCTGTGGGGTTTGTCATACTTTACTTGTGCCAGACACAGCCCCGTATTTCAGTCAAGAACCACCTCACACACCCGATTAATAGCTTCTGTGTATAAATTTGATAATAAATCTCATTGTTGTTGTTTGATATTTTTTTAGATAGAATAAATTAAACAAGTTTTTCAAACATCCACCAAAAACGTGCAATACTGAATTTGGTGGTGACTTCAAACAAAATTGAAAATACAAAATTGAGTAGATGATGTTAGGTATGAGATTGAGAGAATTATTCTGGATAAAAATTATGGGCAAATGACTCGTTAGTGGTTGTACTATAAAATTAATATTTGCATCACAGATGGAGGATTGATGAAATTCCATGAAGATAAAATCAGTTGACGAGTGGTGAAAGACAGGTAATCATCAGATTAAATTAAATATATACATATAAAGAACACTTTTTTGAGAGATTTTTGTCAAAAATAATAATTATTATTTTTGGTCTTCCTTTTTTTCACCACTTGGCTACGGAAATATATTTTATGAATATGGGGCAGCAAAAATATTGAAAATAATTGTTGTAATGTACACGGAGAGGAGCAATGACTGAGATCCATGATTTACGAAATTTCTAAGATCAAGGATAAAATTCATTCATTGTCATTCCCAACATTTTCGCCCCAATCACATGAATTTTGGACATGTTTTTCTCCCGTTCAATGAGACATTTCGACAAGAATAGAAATTGTTTTTCTGCTAGTCTGATCAATTAATTGATTAATTAATTCCTCGTTCCGGATTTTTCTGTAAATAATCGAAATTCTGTAATGACATTCGTGTTCATTGTAATTTAATGATGGAATATTAAAGCTTTTGAATTGAAATTACCCAATTTTTTCATTTTTTAATGTAAAAATGACTTGCCAGTCAAAAGCAAATTTATTCATTTTTTCTTTCGATAACGAAAAAGTTCACGTGATGAGTATTTTATGCGTAAAATATGTCCAGGGATGTTGTTTCATGAAATTTAAATCAAGATACTGACAATTTGCTTGCTTCAAAATGTGATGTTTCTTCCTTCACGATTTTTATTACATATATTACGAATTCATTACATTTAAAATATGATATTCATTTGCAGTAGTATATACTTAACGACCTAACGCGATTTGTGATATAAATGTTTTACTTAAGGCCCGGGTGTATTAACTTTCAAACGTTATCTCGACGTTTTTTTTTTCATCTTTCGCATCTGAAATTGTCAATTTTGTAAAAAAACTGCGCCAAGAAAAAGTTTTGTTTGGTTCTTACTGGGAAGTAGAAATTTTCGAAAAATACAAAGAAATGAAAAAGAAAGCCAAGTCAGCAATGTCGAATAAACGAAAATAATGCATAATCAGATTTCTATAAGAGAAATAGTTTCAAATCGAATGAGGATTTTAAAAAAATTCTTGATGAAATAAAAAATTAGTAGAAGGAGGACCAACGTCCTTGGCGCGGATCAGAAGATGGAGAATTAGATTGATACTAGACA